TATCCTTGCCTCCTTTGTCAAAGATAAGGTGACCATAGGTTCGTGGATTTATCTCTGGGCTTTCTATTCTGTTCCATTGATCTATATTTCTGTCTTTGTGCCAGTACCATACTGTCTTGATGACTGTGGCTTTGTAGTAGAGTCTGAAGTCAGGCAGGTTGATTCCTCCAGTTCCATTCTTCTTTCTCAAGATTACTTTGGCTATTCGAAGGTTTTTTGTATTTCCATACAAATTGTGAAATTATTTGTTCTAGTTCTGTGAAAAATACCGTTGGTAGCTTGATAGGGATTGCATTGAATCTATAGATTGCTTTGGGTAGTATAGCTATTTTGACAATATTGATTCTTCCAATCCATTAACACGGTATATTTCTCCATCTGTTTGTGTCCTCTTTGATTTCTTCCAGATTCTTTCCTCATTTGGTCATTACAGAGCATTGAGGAGAGTTCCCTGTGCTATACAGCAGGTCCATATTAGTTATCTGTTTTATATAGAGTCATGTATATATGTCAATCCCGATCTCCCAATTTACTACCCACTCCCCCACATTATTATTACATTTCTTACAGTGGTCAGTAATCTCTGATATTACCATTGCAAATGGATTGTGACTTGCTGAAGGCTCAGATGATAGCTCACATTATCTTTGCAACAGGTATTTTTAAATCAAGTTATGTACATTGGTTTTTGTTTTTTAAGATATAATGCCATTGAACACATAATAGACTACATATAATAGACATAGTATTAACATAACTTCTATGTGCACTGGGAAACCAAAAAAAAAAAAAGTGTGATTTGCTTTATTGCATTACTTGCTTTACTGTGATGGTCTGGAACTAAACCCATCATATCTGTCAGGTAAGTCTTAGAGAGAATCATTATAATGGCAGTATCTTCATCTCCTGATAAGTAAATTAGCCTCCAGGAGACTGTAAAAATATTTTTATATCAGTATTCATAAGATGCGGGGCAAAAATAGAATCAGAGTGCAAGAAAAAAAAAATCTAGTGCCTCTCACCAAGAAAATGAGGCAAAAACACACTTTAATATGAAATTGTGCCCTCTAGTTTCTGCATTTTGAATGTTAGTTGTGTCATAAAATCTAATGTGAATAGATTTATGTACTGAAGTGAGGTGCAAAGGCAAAAATAATTCTTACTATAAGTCACTGAGTGGATGCAGAACAGATGCAAACAACACAGGTTGGAACACTGCTATATAAAAATCTCCTCATTTCTCTTAATATAAGACATTAAAAGTATTCAAAAGACACAGAACATGCACCAGCTAAACTTTTTGTCTTGCCCAGTGCTTTTCTCTGCTGAGTCATTCACATTCTAATATGAGGTCTCCTGGACTCCTAAGATACTGTTTATTTTCCTTCCACCTGCCCAACTTCCCCTAGTAAATCTGGGGTGAGAGGTAATACAAGAGGCTGGTACCCTCAGGAAAGACTCTTAAGAAAAAAGAAGACACTTACCACTTCCGGGAGCAGCTTAGTCGAGAGGTCATGGATGGCTTTGACCACTATACACACAGATGACAGAAGGAATATCACCCCCAAGATGACACAGGCTCTGCAAAGAAGCAGAACATTGGGAATCAATGGGGAGACCTCCATCTTGCCAGTTTACACAATAACAGTGACAACGACACAACCCAAGGCCCTGGGACCCACCATAATTTGCCGTCCTCCCACCATGCCCACCCACAGTATCAGAATGAATACTGAATCATTTCTAGACACAGTTCAGTGATTTATCATCAAAATCAACCCCACAGGAAAGGGTCTCACCATCCTCCATGACCAAAAGCATCCCATGAATGCTGGTATGGAAGGGTCTTCAAGGCCATGAAACCCATTCTCCTGCCTGGCAACACGACGTTTCACCCCTCCTCGAGCTGGAGGGTACAGAGTTTACTAGCAAAGAGTGGAGGTTCTGACATGAGACTTCCCAGGTTCTACCATTTAACCTGCTTCTTGATCTTGGTCAAGCTACTGAACTTCTTTTAGCCTCTATTTCCTCATCTGTCAAGTGGGAGTGATATTTCCTACCTGAAGATGAAATAAGATAATGCACAGAGGATACAAAATTAACCCATTAATGCTGACTTAAATGATGGAAAAGAAAGGCACACTCTGGATGTCTCTTGCTGATAGAACAGGATAGACACTTTTGGATTTTCTCAAACATAAAAAGAGGAATGATTCAGTAATGACAAGAGAAGAGAGTTCATCTGCTGTATTTAAAATGGATAATCAACAAATTCCTACTGTATAGCACAGGGAACTCTGCTCACTCTTATGTGGCAGCCTGGATAGTAGGGGAATTTGGTGAGGTTGGGGGGAATGGATACATATATATGGACTGCTGAGTCCCTTCACTGTCCGCCTGAAACTATCATAACATTGTTAACTGACTACACTCCAAGATAAAATTAAAAGCAAAAAAATAAAGTGTTCATGGCAGGATGAAGCAATTCTTTTAAAAAATAAATAAGAGGAGAAAAGGAAGGATGGGGTCAAACAAGACACCATAGACAGGAGAGGTCAGAGCAAGTTAGGAATGAGGTCATGGGAAAAGTCAGAGGACACCCAGCCAGGGGAGTGGGGTGGGAGCTGGGAGGATGACTACTGGGCTTGGGATGCACCAGCTGGCAACCCAGACACTCACAGGAGGTAAAAATACAGAAAATGAAAGTAAACCTGAGGAAATGATAGTCGAGATACAAGGGTCAAAATACCAAGTGAAAACGAAAAGAAACCAATACAAGAATAACTACAGTCAGCCCTACATCATTCCTGTCCCAACCTGAGGTCACCATCTCTAGCAACCTTCTCAGCCCTCCTCCTGAGCTACAAAATAGAACCATTTTTCATTGCCCATGCTGTAATTACCATGTTCTGGACTAATAGCAGGACCCAAAGTGGCACCTACTTAGAATTCTAACCACCCTATAGAGAGACACCTTTTCCCAAACCTAAGGGTCAGAAATAAGTGGGTAAACAGGATGCGTGGAGTTCACTCCAAAGGCTTCTATCAACACATTAGTTGTAGGCTTTATTCTCTCAAAAACACAGATGGGAAGGTACTTCAGCGGCGATCCAGTGGTTATGACACCACTTTCCAATGCAGGAGGTGCAAGTTCGATCCCTGGTCAGGGAATTAAGATCCCACATGCTGAAGCATAAGGCCAAAAAGTAAAAATCACAGAATCAAAAACACAGGAAGAAGCAATCAGTGTGGGCTGGGGTGAAACACAAAAGAACAAAGGAAAAGTAATAAGCAGGCTGGGGCTCTTGGCACAGACTTGAGCTAAAGAGAATCCTGGACCTGTAAACCAAGCAAGTGATCCACCCCGGGCACCACACATCCTCATAAGGAGCCTGGGGGAAAACATGCACTCAAGGTGGCGGATGGTAGGGGATTGGTGAGGTGTGAGTGTGTGTGCGTGCATGTGTGTAGACAGATTACAGGTAGGTGTTATGAGGTCATGGGAAAAGTCAGAGGACACCCAGCCAGGGGAGTGGGGTGGGAGCTGGGAGGATGACTACTGGGCTTGGGATGCACCAGCTGGCAACTCAGATACTCACAGGAGGTAAAAATACAGAAAATGAAAGTAAACCTGAGGAAATGATGGTCGAGATACAAGGGTCAAAATACCAAGTGAAAACGAAAACAAACCAATACAAGAATAACTACAGTCAGCCCTACATCATTCCTGTCCCAACCTGAGGTCACCATCACTTAGCAACCTTCTCAGCCCACCTCCTGAGCTACAAAATAAAACCATTTTTCATTGCCCATGCTGTAATTACCATGTTCTGGACTAATAGCAGGACCCAAAGTGGCACCTACTTAGAATCCTAACCACCCTATAGACAGACACCTTTTCCCAAACCTAAGGGTCAGAAATAAGTGGGTAAACAGGGTGCGTGGAGTTCACTCCAAAGGCTTCTATCAACACATTAGTTGTAGGTTTTATTCTCTCAAAAACACAGATGGGAAGGTACTTCAGCGGGGATCCAGTGGTTATGACACCACTTTCCAATGCAGGAGGTGCGAGTTCGATCCCTGGTCAGGGAATTAAGATCCCACATGCTGAAGCATAAGGCCAAAAAGTAAAAATCAGAATCAAAAACACAGGAAGAAGCGATCAGTGTGGGCTGGGGTGAAACACAAAAGAACAAAGGAAAAGTAATAAGCAGGCTGGGGCTCTTGACACAGACTTGAGCTAAAGAGAATCCTGGACCTGTAAAGCAAGTGATCCACCCCGGGCACCACACATCCTCATAAGGAGCCTGGGGGAAAACATGCACTCAAGGTGGCGGATGGTAGGGGAGTGGTGAGGTGTGAGTGTGTGTGCGTGCATGTGTGTAGACAGATTACAGGTAGGTGTTGTGGGGGGGGGTGGCGATTACAGGCAAAAAGCACTCAGGGACACAGCAGCAGAAATGAAGATGGCTACAGTAGCTCAACAGGTACAGTCCTGGCAGGGTGATCAGGGTGGAGGGGACCACAGCCAAGAGGGGCATCGTGCAGGAATGAGACGGCTTCCTGGAGGGCCCTTTGGTGACCAGACACTGGGGCAGGACCAGGGATTCCAGGGCTTGGGGGATCAAAGCTCCCAAAGCAACTAGCTCAAGGCCCAGCTATCCCACAGGACAGATGACTATGGACCCACTGTACCCAGCACTTGAAGTAACCACTTCTCCCTGCTAGCAAACGGGACCGTGAGAGGTGCCATTTCAGGAACAGAGCCTAAAAGTCAGGCCTCCACTCAAGTGACTAGCACACATGCTCTCTCTGCTTGACCCTTTCAGACAAATTTAATCTCCAACTTGGTTTTCCAGCCCTCACACTTTACACCCCACTGAGGAATTTTTTGAAACTGTGGCCCAGGGACGGCTCCTCAGGGTCAATTTTATCAGAATCTCTAGGGGTGAATACAGGCAACTGTATTTGCTTTTTAAATTGCTTTTCAGAAACAGAAGTAGGCCCACAGACATAGAAAACAAATTTATGGATACTAGAGGGAAAGAGTAGGGGAGGGATAAACTAGGAGATTTGAGATTAACATACGCACACTACTGTCTTTCGTGGACAGAGGAGCCTGGCGGGCTACAGTCCACGGGGTTGAGTCAAGTTGGACACAACTGAGCATCCATGCTATACTAGATATAAAAGAGATAAACAGAAAGCTTCTCCTGTACAGCGCAGGGAACTCTACTCAATATCTTGCAATAACTTATAAGGAAAAAGAATCTGAAAAAGAATATATGTATGTATGTATATGAAGTGTTTAGTTTCTCAGTCGTGTCCGACTCTTTGCAACCCCCACAGACTGTAGCCTGCCAGGCTTCTCTAGAGTCCGTGGGATTCTCCAGGGAAGAATATTGGAGTGGATTGTCGTTCCCTTCTCCAATATGCATGTATATGAAAAAGTGAAACTGTTAGTCACTCAGTTATGTTTGACTCTTTGCAACCGCATGGACTGTAGCCAGCTGGCTCCTCTGTCCATGGAATTCTCCAGGCAAGAATACTAGAATGGGCAGACATTCCCTTCTCCAGGGGATCTTCCTGACCCAGGGATCGAACCCAGGTCTCCCACATTGCAGGCGGATTCTTTACCATCTGAGCCACAAGGGAAGATACACATACACACACACACACACACACACACACACATAAAGCAGAATCCCTGTGCTGTAAGCCTGAAACTAACAACACTGTAAACCAACTATACTTCAGTAGAAAAAGAAAATCAAGCTCCCCAGGCAATTTCCTGAAGAATCTCTCAGGGCTGAGTCCCAGGCCTAGTTCAAGGGAAGGCCCTGTCCTTAGCAAGCTTCCACTGTGGGGGACAATCCAACCTTCTCTGAAGAGAAGGGAACAGTCACCCCCCAGCTGCGGAGGAAGCAGGGGTCTAATGTTCCCCGAGAAACCTGCAGCGCACCCGTTACTCAATCAGTCTTCTCTCCCTGAGGCCTGAGAGCACCCAAGTGAGAGGCACTACTTGGGTGCTGAACCTTCCGTAGAGCATTTACAACATCCTCAAGAAGCCTCCATCCCCAAATTCCTCGGAGGGGACAGGAACAAATGTCTGAGCTGCTTCCTGACAGGGAACAGGGATGCTGCAGGACTCTTATCTTTCTCCCAGTCAACACAGGCACACCTTGATAATGCACAAAAAGTGAATTTGGGTTTTGTTGGATTCTGTTAAGGAGACAGGTATAAGAGATGCAATGGTCTCCTTACATAATATCTTGCTTATATATCTTTAATCAAAACTACCTAGAAGTTCCTTAAGGGTGAGAACCATATTTTCATATTTCAGTATCTACAGCAGCACCTGGCAGGTTCCCCTGATTGGAGCCACAAATGGGGTCCACCCAGGAAGGTTTGACTCTCCCTGAAATGAAGTGTTAGTTGCTCAGTCATGTCCAACTCTTTGTGGCCCCATGGACTGTAACCTGCCAGGCTCCACTGTCCACTGACTTTTCCAGGCAAGAATATTGGAGTGGGTTGCCATTTCCTTTTCCAGAGGATCTTCCCAACCCAGGGATCGAGCCTGG